CGCCTGCGCTAACGGGCTACTCTGGCGGAGCATCAGTGAAGGGTGATAGATGAGAATGAAAACAGGCCAGTTAGCCCATCATAATGATCATCAGGAATTAACCATGATAGTTTCCAGGGGAATTCGCGAGGTGGTCGACTTGGTTGGGTACATTGCTAGCAATGGGATTCTCAGTCTCCATTACTAACAATCCCTTTCCCCCCAACAAATTGCAGTTACCAACCCACCTACCAAACGTGGCAACTAGTGGCAAAACCTTCCTTATGGGAAGGCTATGTTCAGCATTGGGCAGTTAATGGCTGACATAGAATACTATATGCAAATGTCATATAGTATGTGTAGGTAGAGTCTACCATTTGTTAGTTATGGAAAAATACAACGAAGAGACTGCTTCCTTCTTTTTTGATGTGAGTCCAAATATGTCATCGTGTCAACCGTACAGTGACGAGTCAACAGCAAAATTAATCATCAACACAAGCTGTACAAACATACGTGGCTTCCATGATGGTTCTGATGATGTACAGCATTGTATATTGTATTTAAACAAGTAAATGGAAAATTTAAACATGACTTATTAATAATTAATGTATATTCTTTATTACACTTGAACAATAGATACAGCGGTTAGTATAACAACTTGTTAGCGAGGGAGGGCTTGTCTCTAAAAGAGATCTCTTGCAGCCAACCCAGTAAAGTACAGAGAATAATTAATTGGCGGGTAATCTAGTGCAGGAAAGGTACAGAAAAGTTTCGCACAACGGCCCAAATGAGAGGCTAAGCGCGGAAAACAGAGTCTTTCTCACATTCACACACACACAGGTACAGAAAAAAAATAATGGTAATACAACAAACATACACAAATTAATATACTTTTTTATTAAATTTAGAATGGCAAAAAATCTGACGGCCCACCTGATGGAAAGTGGTTACCGTCGTCTATAGACATGAGCAGTACCATGGACATAACAGAGTATACTGTTTCGCCAGTGATACGCCCCACGCCATTCCTGAGGACTCCGGTGTTATTCCTCTATAGGCGACGGTTACCACTTTCCATCAGGTGGGCCGTCAGCTTGTTTGCCATTTTAAGTTGCATAAAAAAAAATAAAAGCATAAATCAAACTGTTAAATTCGTATAAATGTATCACTACTGACTCCTGCTTTCCTATTAATATTATAAAAAAAAAAAAAATTAAAAGGAAAATTACTCACTAGATCGGTGTTTCCCAACGTGGGGCGCAGGCCCCACAGGGTGGCAATTTGATAGTTAAGGCAGGGGGGCGGGGGCAATTATAAAATGGACTAGAAGCGATTTTAACCCTCTTGCTCCGAGCCATTTAAATGCAATGCTACGAGTAGATATCGGTGCCAAATTTAACAAAAAAAAAAAAGAAAATAAAAAAAAAATGCTGTAAATATTTATTAGGTATAATTAATTTCGTTTGACGTTACCAAAATATCAACTGGGTGACTAGAGTCGTCAAGTAAACATTGTCAGGAAAAATTATGTATGGGGGCATAAAATTTTTAGAAATGTACAAGTGGGGCATGGCACAAAAAAGGTTGAGAAACACTGCACTAGATAGAGTGATAGATCAAAATAGGTAACGCAATGATTAACCATAGGAAACACTGACACACTGCGGGGTTTTATGGGCCCTACCGCTATCATCAAACCGATGTCGGTACTTGGAAGCGTAGTCATTGGCGGAAACCTAGACACATTCACGTGTCCACTGAGAGACAGTTGTATAGTGTAAGTCATAAGAATTCGCGACCGCCTAAATGTATCGTTAAACTGTAAATTAATTGAATGAATATATATTTTCATGTACTCGTATTGTATCTGCTACGCCTAACAACTTTTATGTTCTCTGTTTGTATGCATTACCATAAAATGTTTCATGTCAGGGAGGGTCTTGGTGCCTTTTTTTTTTGATGGGTAAAAATGGTATGGTAATCCCGCCTGCGCTAACGGGATGCGCTGGCGGAGCACCAGTGGGTGATAAATGAGAATGAAAACAGGCCAGTTAGCCCATCATGATGAATTCATCAGGAATTAACCATGATAGTTTCCAGGGGGAACCGCGAGGAGGTCGACCTGGTTGGCTATATTGCTTGCAATGGGATTCTCAGTCTCCATTACTAACAATCCCATTCCCCCCGGTCCTGGAACCTTGTGATACGGATTCTTTGGATTGGACCCTGTTCAGGCACCAGTTCTCTACAACATTGTTGTATCTATGGTATTATTTTAAATGTTTCATTGTACTAAAAAAAGTTGTGAGATAAATAAATAAATAAACATTATTATTATTTGTAGGCTGACTCAAATAAAATTAAATTTATATTTAGATTAGGTTTGCAATGAATGTGAAATTTAAAATTGTTAAATGCAATTAAAATGTGACAAATGACAGGTTTTGTAAAGAGTGAAAAAAATTATGAATATAAACAAAGTGTGCGACCGAGATATAATACAGGCGTAGTAATAGGGTGCAAATGAGAAAGTGAATTAAAAAGGACCACTATTTTTTATATACAATTTAATACTTTATTCGCAAAAAAAAAAAAACAACGACTTCCATCGTAATATAAGAAGACATAATAAAAAAACGGGATGTTCCATAGACACATAACTATTTAAATTTAGAACGCAGATTTGTGTCTACAGATTTCGTTCCGAAACAAGTGGGAGAAATATCGCTTTACAAAAATGGCGGCTTCAATCGTCATAGAATAAATAAATAAATATTAGAATAGTAATAATAATACTTTATTGTACTTATACAAGTGTTCTTTTATTTCTTATACTAGCTTTTAGGCTTGATTGCGTTACTGTATCTGTCCCGGCATAGAATAGGCCACCCTATCCTTTCCCGTGGGTGTCGTAAGAGCCAACTAAGGGAGAGCAAGGGATGGGCAGCAGCGGCCCTCTTAAAACATCACTAAAAGACTAACTGCGGTTGCCAACCCGCTTGCCAAGCGTGACAATTACTGGCAAAACTCCTCTTCTGGGGAAGGCTTATGTTCAGCAGTGGACAGTAAAGGGCTGATATATGATGATGATGATGATGATGATGATGATGATGATGACGACGACGGCGTCGTCATGACCACAATATATTTACTAACCGGGATAAAAAGTAGGCTATGTCTTTTTCTATGTCATCTAGTACATATATACCAGATTACATAGTAATTAGTAAAGCCATTAAGGTGCCATAATGTAACAAGAACACGAACTCATTTTAACAGTATATATTGGGTATATTGCTAGTAATGGGATTCTCAGTCTCCATTACTAACAATCCCTTTCCCCCCAATGCGTTATACATTTAGTAACATTTATAACCGATACCTAAATTCTTTTTTTTTTTATATTTTAAGGGCTTTTACCTTCTTCAGGTATATCAGTCCTATTGTACCCTGAACTGATTTCTTCAACAAAACTTTATCTACCTTTCCTAGACGCGGAAAGAGAAGAATTAATGGGCATCAATAATTTACACAGATATTCAAAAATTTCTGGTTTAAGTTCAGCTAACATAGTTTGAATAAGACCAACATTCAATTTATTTAAGTTAAAGTGGCGCATGAATTCTTCTCTTTCCTTCGTGTTAATACGACACTCTAATAGAATATGATGCACATCATCGATGGTATTACAAGTTTGACAATGGGGTGACAAGGACTTCCCCATCATATGTGCAAATTTTTTTGATGGATAATGACCAGATCGTAGACGAACAGCTAATTTAATATTAGTTAATAATTTAGTTAATAATTTAATATTAGCTAATTTATTATAGTTTACCTAAATTCTGCTACGTTTTATACCTTAAACCACACATCAAACGTACGCCGAAATACAAATAGTCAATAGTCCTTTATCACTTCAAATTGTACAGAATTGTGACGAATACCTAGTTAGACTGTGAGTAACGTACAAGCTAACTGTAACACTCGGCTTTACGTACAAAAAGTGCCGTGTGGCCCCGGCATAGAATAAGCCACCTTCTTCTTTCCCGTGGGCGTCGTAAGAGGCGATTAAGGGAACTTAATAATTGAGGAATGGACATCAGCGTTTTTTTAATGGATGATGGACAATGGTATGGTAACCCCGTCTGCGCTATCGGTATACACTGGTGGGGCACCAGTGATAGATGACTGATGAGGATAAAAGCCGGTTAGTTAGCCCATCCTGACGAATTCAACCAGAATGGCCGCGATGGTTTCCAGGGGGGACCACGTGGAGGTCGACCTGACAGGGCATATTGCTAGTAATGTGGCTGTTGGACCCCATTACTAACAATCCCTTTCCCCCTCGTACATCAACGTTTAAAAGCATCACCTAAAACCTAAATGCAGTTGTCAACCCGCCTGCCAAGCGTGGCAATTACTGCCAAACCCTACCTTAGAGGGAAAGGGATTGTTAGTATTAGAGACTGAGAATCCCATTGCTAGCAATATACCCAACCAGGTCGACCTACTCGCGGTTCCCCCTGGAAACTATCATGGTTAATTCCTGATGAATTCATCATGATGGGCTAACTGGCCTGTTTTCATTCTCATCGGTCATCCTTCACTGGTGCTCCGCCAGGGTACCCCGTTAGCGCAGCGGTGGTTACCATACCATTTTCACCCATCAAAAAAAACCCTACCTTATGGGGAGGCTATGTTCAGCAGTGGACAATTAACGACACAACAAACTGTCATGCAATTTGGCGGAATAATATATTGTATAAGTGTATTTTGTCGACAAATAAATAAAAAAAAAAATAGAAACTTCTCTTCAGGTCAAGATTCCATATTTTCTTTAACACGTAAACGATATCAACATCCGCTTTTGTACTTTCCATAGAAAACAGCTTTACGTTTTTACAATCAGATAAGAAAAAAAAAATGGAGCGGAAAAGGAAAATTAAAAAAAGAATTACGCACACACACACAGCATAAAGCCGTCCACCATTGATCTATTTCATAAAGTCAAATACAACCTGCGCGCGCAGACAGTCGGTCTTACGAGCGGGGAACGAGCGCGCGCGTCGTTTAAATTTCGAACGTTTATTTTTTCGATGTTATTTTTTTAAAGTTCAATCAGCCAGTGTTCGGATAAGTTTTTGTGCGGTCATTATTATATCAATAGTGTTGTGTACTTATTGTGAATCAAGTGTTTTTTTTTTTTATTGTATGCGAAATTTAAAATGTAAGTAAGTGTGTGCAAACATTTTGATACCTGCGTTTGTAATTAGGTTTCTTTAAAGGAAATAATCTTACCTTTTTAATAATAATTCATAGAGTTTTAACTAGAATTATTTAATAATAGGAAAATAAAATTACAATCAACGTTTCGACTTGTTTTTACTAGAAAAAAAAAAAATTAAATTAACTAAAAATAATATTATAGAAAAGCTGGAGTGTTTTACATGATTACAAAACAATACTTAAACAAAGGAGAAAATGGCGGCAGTTTTAATAATAATACACAAACAAAACAGTCAATCAATGTGACATATTTATATGAATAAACAATGACAAAACGTATACTTGAAACAAGGTTAAAATATTGACAATATTTTAAGATACAAATGAATTAACACCACAATACATAACGATATTTACGATAAAAATAATATTACCACACCTAATACATAAAATAAACATGTGTGACTATCATGTACACTTATACATAGTTTTATTAAAAAAAAAAAGTTAAAGAAACAAGAAAGAATTTAAACTACCAGTCAGTATCAGATCATAAATAAGATAAAAGCATGAAATTAGCATTAGAAAAAAATTATTAAAAAATCAGTTGCAATGCAACTGTTTTTTTTTTTTATTTTATTTTTATAAAATGAACATTTTTTTTATATCAATTTTGAACGCCTTTGACTACAATTTCATTTGTTTTTAAATGACGCTAAGGTCTAAGGTGTTATGCGTAAACACAAATAACGCTTATTGACTCTAATTTTAAAAAAGCCCATGTTAAAGAGATCAGGAAACAAATGTAGGAAGAGAATTCCACTACTTGGGTGTTCGTATAAGAAACGATGAAGCAAAGTAAGTCGTAGTATTTTTTTTTTTTTTATTTATTATAATTCGGCCAGAAGCTATCAACCAAAAAAGTACATTACAAATATAGACTTAATACTAATTAAAAACCTTAGTCGACGTCACTAGTTAGCTGGATGTCTGGACTCTACGGTTTAAAAACAAATTAAATTAGAATTCTTTTTTCAAAAAGTCAATTTATGTATACAGTACCTCAATTGGTTTCGAAAGAATTTATATTTACATGCTAGAACCTGGTATTCCTAAAATGATATATGCGATTTTAGAGGACTCTCCATCCATTAACGCGCACGCTGTGGAATGAGCTTGCCAAAGGGCATAAAAAATTAAAACTATTGCAAAAAAAAAATACATAATTTCAGAAAAATATTTGATACGGTAATGTAAAACAGACATAAATATAATTATGTAAAGTTAATATAAAAGTAAAATCACAAATCGACATAAAAAAATACCTATTTTTGTCTTTTTTTTTTGATAGAGATGTCAAATAATACCTGTTCAATAAAGTTTATCAAGAAATCGCCAGCTTGACGATTCTACAATTCTAAGAATTTGCGACAAGTTTTGTTTTTTTTTTTAATCTATCTATCCATTTCAATGTCTTTAAATATATTAATACTTGTTTTTACCAGCGACATCGTTCGCCTGACCGGGACATAACCACTGAACAATGGAGAGGGATTATTGGTAATGCGGACTAGCCGTCCCATTGCTAGCAATATGCCTTTACAAGTCGACGCCGCGATCGAACCCGGAAATTAGAACGATTTTTTTAATTTGAATTTCGAACTACACTTTTCTGATATAAATATACATATGCGCGGGTTGCTTATAAATTAATATACATGTATTAATTAAAATGGCGGCCATTTTTATTGATTTATAAATCAAAACACATTTTATGTCTACACTCAGATATAAATCAATTCAGTAATGATGAGCATCATTACTAATCATTGAGTAGTGTTTATGTTGTCTTTTCAAATGTTTCGTAAGAAATTCGTATCGTTTTTATTTTTTAATTTATTATAATATTATAAATTTCTCCCACATATTTAGTATTAACTGTACATACTGGTAACCAGATTTGCGCGGAGGGGAAGGGATTGTTAGTAATGGAGACTAATAATCCCATTGCTAGCAATATACCCAACCAGGTCGACCTCCACGCGGTTTCCCCTGGAAACTATCATGGTTAATTCCTGATGAATTCATCATGATGGGCTAACTGGCCTGTTTTCATTCTCATCTGTCACCCTTCAATGGTACTCCGTCAGCGTATCCCGTTTTACGCACACATGAATAAAAAGTTTACCTACTTTTAGGGAAGCATTTGTAAGCATTTCCTGTGTGGTCTCGGCATAGATAGGACCACGCGTTCCATTCCTGGGAGTGTTGTAAGAAGCGACTAGGCGAGGATGAGGGATGAGCAGCAGTGTCTCTCTTAAAACACCCCTAAAGCTTAACTGCGGTTGCCAATCCGCCTGCCAAGCGTGGCAACTTCTGGCAAAACCCCCTAGAGGTATATGTTCAGCAGTGGACAGTTAAAAGCTGATATGATGATGATGATGATGACGATGTATGGAGAAACTCTAATCTTAACTCATCCACATAATTACGAAAAGGGGGGTAAAGAGGTTTTTTCTTCTTTTTTTTGTTTCTTCAGGGTCGGCAACGCGTGCATAATACCTCTGGTATTGCAGGCGTTCATAGGCTACGGTAACCGCTTACCATCAGGTGGGCCGTATGCTTGTTTGCCACCTCAGTGGTATATAAAAAAAATCCAGGCAACAAAAAAAATCAGACAAATTTAGCTCGTATTTGGAAGTAACTTAAAAAATAAATAAAAAAAAATCGACAAACAAGGACGAATTCAAAAAGCATGAATGAAACATGACGCTCGATCAAATTACGTATGTATGTTGCAGTCAAATCTCTTAACCAGTCAAAAGTACTATTGACTAGCAAAATCAGTCAAAAGTACTTTTAACTGAACAGGTTGATCAAAAGTGGTTTTGACTAAAAATTATTGGTTATTAGTACTTCTGATTGCAAATTTAAGGTTTTTTTTTTTATACAACTTAGAATGGTAAACAAGCTGATGGCCCACCTGATGGAAAGTGGTAACAGTCGCCTATAGATATGAGCAGTACCGTGGACATAACAGAGTATACTGTTTCGCCTACGAAACCCCCTATGCGTTGCCATTCCTGAGGACTCAGGTGTTATTCCTCTGTACCGTGTAAATTCACGCCATATCCCCACCCTTCAAACCGAAACACAGCTATGTAAATACTTCACGGTAGAAACACGAATGCGACAGAGGTACCCAAGCAATCGACTTTTGTACAAAGTCTCCCTCTGGTTAAAAGTACTCTTGACTGACGCCCTTCGTCAAAAGTAGTTTAATCACAATAAAGCATAAGTCAAAAACACTATTAACTTGTTAGATGAAAAAAAAAAGGTATTTATTTAATGTGAAATCGTTTATTACGAAAAAATTTGGCATTACAATCAATACAAAGAAAACATACTAAACTAACCTAATTTAAGTAAATTTAAATTTTTAAGAGTGTTGACTGATACAACCAGTCAAAACCACTTTTGACCAGGGGGAAAAGGATTGTTAGCAATGGAGTTTGACAGCCCCATTGCCAGCAATGGCATCCATTTTACCGGCAATTGTGTTCAGAACACTGTTTGAGCTAACACGCACCCTAGTCGACAGCGAAACAATTCGTTTGCGCCGTATTGCGTAAAAATCATTCGTACGCTTAATTTTAAGAACTTTTCCATTTATAAAAAGCCACATTACCAGTGAGTATCTTACACTATGTCTTCATCATCAACATCATTTCAGCCATTATGCGTCCACTGCTGGACATAGGCCTTGCCCACAGACTATGTATTAGATACTTTTTGAAAATTCTAACTACCCATGTTAGCTGGGGGGAAAAGGATTGTTAGCAATAGTTTGTCAGCCCCATTGCTAGCAATATACCCTTATTAGGTCGACCTCCACGTGGTTCCCCCTGGAAACCATCGTGAACAATTCTTGTTGAATTCGTCACGATGGGCTAACTGATCTGCTTCATCCTCACCTATCATCCTTCACTGGTGCCCCGCCGGTAGCGCGGGTGGGGTTTTTTTTTGATGGGTGTAACTGGAATGGTAACCCCGCCTGCGCTAACGGGTTATGCTGGCGGAGCACCAATGAAGGGTGATAGATGAGAATGAAAACAGGCCAGTTAGTCCATCATGATGAATTCATCAGGAATTAACCATGATAGTTTCCAGGAGGAACCGCGAGGAGGTCGACCTGGTTGGGTATATTGCTAGTAATGGGATTCTCGGTCTCTATTACTAACAATCCCTTTCCCCCTGCGCGGGTGGAGTTACCATTCCATTATCATCCATTTAAAAAAAACCCTTTTGACGGAATCACTTAGTACTTTTGACCAGCTCCATTGGACAAAAGTACTTTCAACTGCTATTTTAGCCAAACATATTATTGACTTAAAGCATACGGTCAAAACTACTGTTGACTGACTCTGCTAGTCAGTAGTACTCTTGACTGCAACATACATACAATCGAATACATTCCGAGTAGACACGTCGTGATAAATCGTTCACCATCCATTACTTCATTAGTTACCGATGTTTATACTCGCATACAAATATAATCCTCGCTAATGACACCAGATTGTTGGCTTGACAGTGACAAACAGACACAAAAACTGTAAATCATGATGGCATTAATAATAAAAATAAAAGGAAGTCAAAAGGAAAAATTGTACTTGGCTTTATGTATTTCTTTTTTAAATTTATTTATTTTATATAATTCTTTATTGTACACACTAATTATTTATAAAAATATGACAGAGCTAATCAAATGTACAGAGGTGAGCTTAACTCTAATAGAGTTCTCATCCAGCAACACCCAAAGTGGAAAGGAGCATCAATGTCAGCGGGTAGAGCGGTGTACAATATTGTGAGAATTTTTAAACAAAGAAATTAGACCAAATTAAATTAATTACATTATATTTAATCGTAATATATATATATATATATATATATATATATATATATATATATATATATATATATATATATATATATATATATATA